AATAATCATAACGTAATTTATAAATCATTGGTGTAAAGTTTTGTTACACAAATATGCAAATAATCATAAAATCATATGAGTAGAAACCTCATTTAATAAATATCCATATTAAAAGTGTGCTATATTACTATGTTTATATCATTTAAATTTAATTATATATCATATACAATATATAAGATTGATTATTTTGATTTATTAACCCTAATTGTGAATAAACAAGAGTAATCGTTAAATTTATATGCATACGCCAATTTGTTACATAATAGTAATTGATTTCTTAGTTATTTAATATATAAATTTATTATTTTATTATTTATAATATGCAGAAAAATATAAAATAAATAATAAATATAAAATATTTATTGTGCATAAAGTGCAGATCTTAACCTAAGTATTTATCTGTTTAATTATTTTAAAACTTAAATATTTTCTAAATTTCAGGTCAAAACAAACAAACGAAATGAGAATAAAATTCAAAATAAATATTTATATCGAGTAATAACCAAAATATAAAAAAAAAACATAGCAAGAGAAAAATGGAAGAAAAATAGGATTGACACGTGAACGTGAACTTCTCATAACTGGAAGATAAATAGGATTGACACGTGAACGTAAAATTCTCATAACCATAATTAATTTTTAAATTGTTAAATCATGATATAAAACTGAGTTAATTTTTAATTTGTTAACTTTTAATTTTTTTTAATTTTTTAAATCATTATGGCTATGTTAAATCATGACAATAATTAATTTTAAATTGTTTATTTGTATTCGAAAAACTTAAAATATTGCTTTTAAAAATAATTTTAAATTTAACATAATTTTTTAGAAAATTATTTTTTAAAAATATAATTTTTAAAAAATATAATTTTCTAATATTATTAGACAGATAAATAAATCATATTAAATTAGTTTAGAAACTTTATATATTTTAATTGCAAATATTTTACCAATTGCTTCTTTAAAAACATTAGGGAACTTGCTATACTCTACCAATCAAGCCCAGTGACACTCCATTTATTTTCCATCACTCGAACACTGAAAAATAAAAAGATATATGAAATCAGATCCATTAAATTCTAAGATTTGATTTACATTTCTAATTAAAATTGTTTTTGATCATACGTATAGATAATTATATAAAAATTCCAAAATTCTAAAATTTCAAATACATACAAAAACAATCATATGTAAATTTTAAATTTGTGAATATTAAAATTTTATATTTTAATTACATATATTCAC